ATTTTTTTTTTTCCTTTTTCTCTCCTCTGTGTGTGTATTTTTTAATTTGATGAACTGTTGCTAGAAGAAGTGAGCAAAACGTGTGTGTGCATATACTGTTTTTTCCAGTTCTAGTAATTGTTTTTAATTATTAATTTAATCCAATTATTCATTTTAATTTGACCAGAGAAAGAGGGAAAGTGGGAGTTTAGGACCTTAACTGCCATGCTACCTCCTGGCCCCTCTAGTAACACTCTAAGAAAACTGTTGAGCTGGTCTCTAATCAGGAGTTCTGTTCTTTTTGTTTTGGAGAGGTTTTTGCTACGGGGCACGGGTACACTCTCCAGAAAGACAGAGAGACAGAAAGTGAGAAATCACCCCCTTAGGGGGATGGCCACACTGCACGCACACGTGCCTGGTGTGAATTTAAGTCATTGGGTCCAGGACTTGAACTATGGTCAGCTACATGGGAGTCCAGCGACATAGCCATTATGCCAATTGTTGGTCCCAGAGTTGTGTTCATTTTTAACAGTTGTCTTAAATTTGTGTGTGTGTTTCATTAGTAGTAATTTGGTTGATGCTCTGCCACATAAGAAAGGGAACAGGTGAGAAAAGGCAGGGGAAAAAGGAAATGGTGAGAGGAATGTTAAGACAAAAAGAAAGACAAAACAGGACAAAGGTGCTAATAAACAAGGCATAATTAAGACCAGGATATACCTAAGGTGCACAAATGGAAAATGTGGTTAAGTGTTCTGGGTCTCTTGTTTTCTTAATGTTTGGAATTGCAAACACTTACAACCACATCAAAATTTTGATAGTAAAAATGTTTTCAGCGTACTTCTATTTTATCTTAACATTTTGTTTAACATATATTACCTGATAAAGTAAATATAAACACTTGTTTATTCTTAATAGAAAAGAAACTACGTTAAATGACATTGATTAATACGGGTAAGAGAGAGAATAAGTAAACATTAGAAGATTAATTTCCCTTTAAAATTTAATATACATCTAGGCCCAGCCTCAGTGCTGCATAGGTAGTCCTCCTGCTTGGAATGATGGAAAGAAGTGTGGGAAGCCTGGGTTCCATTCCCAGACTATCCTGAACATGCAGGGTATGGTTGCATGAGTCTGTGATCATAACTAATCAGGAGGCTGGGACAGAAAAATTGTATCAAAATGAGACTCCATCAAAAATACCTGTGTCGGGACTAGGAGATGTGCTAATGGTTATGTTGCTGAACTCCCACATGGCTGACAGTGGTTTGCATCCTGGACCTGAAGGGATTGAAATTCACACTGTCACACACATACTGACTCTCCATTGAGTGCGCATACCCTATAGCAAAAATCTCCTCATCCAGCCCGCCCCCCCAAGAAAAACCTATGTCTGTCCTCTTTCTCTTTCATTAAAAAATAACAGGAGTTCTAATTACTTTTATATACAATGCAGGTAACATTGATTTTTTGGGGGGAAGGTCTTTAATATCTTTTACACTTGGAGAATATTTGGTAATCATTAGCTATGTGGCATCATCTCTCTGCCATAGGTCCCCCTCTTTCTTTTTTATTAAAAAATTACTCATTTGATTTTGTTATTATTACTTATTTTTTAATTTGACCAGAGAGAGAGAAAGGGAATATAAAAAAGCAAGCCATCAGGTCTGGAACTTAAACCACAGTCAGCCATGTGGGAGTCCAGCACCTTAACCACCATGCCATCCGCCAGTCCCAAAGACCCTCACTTTCGAGTAGACTTCTGAAGTTTTTGTTTCTGTAATCTTGTGACAGAGACTGAAGTAGGAAAAAATGTCTTACCTTGAGTTGGACAGACTGGTTTTGTATAAGAAAGTACTGATTAATGATTAATGGTGATGATAAACAAGCACTTAAGGAAAAATAAATTAAGTCTTATGTGGGGGTGGTTAGACTAGTCAAAGCTACATGGTTCATCCTGTGGAATAAGTTCATAGTCTACTTGGTAGTGGGAAATGGGGAGAATCCCCCAGAAGCACTAAGAATAAATTTTGTTTGATTTTTATACATTGACTGCCCTGTAGAGCTTGAATACACCCAAAGAAAATAAATCATAATGACTTGCTATTATGTAGTGTAGAAGTTGAGGTGGCCCTTTAACTTCTCTCCTTTGATTCCATGCTAGTTTTTTTTTTTTTTTTTTTGGAGAGGTTTTTGCCATAGAGTGCGTGTGCTCACCAGACAGAGATAGAGAGACAGAAAGCGAGAAATCACCCCCCAGGGGGGATGGCCATACTGCAGTCCCTTCTCCTCCATTCTCCTCTTGGGATTTGGGGCACACATGCATACGCGCCTGGCGTGATTTTTAAGCCACCGGATCTGGGACTCGAACCGCGGTTGACTACATGGAAGTCCAGCAACATAGCCATAACGCTAACTGCTGGTTCCTCTGTGCTAGTTTTTAGCAGCATTGAGATGAGGTTCTAGTTGTCTTATTTTTGTTTATTTGTTGTTGTAGAGAGCTTTTTGCTGTAGGGCATGTGCTCTCACTGGAGAGACAGAGAAACAGAGTGAGAAATCATCCCGGGGGGGCAGTGCGGAGGGATGATCACGCTGCAGTCCATGCTTAGGATTTTTGGCATGCACACGAATGCACCCGGCATGAGTTTTAGGTCCCTGGGTCCAGGACTTGAATTGTAGTCAACTATGTGGGAGTCCAGCGACATAACCATTATGCTGCATGCTGGTTCAAGTTGTCTTATTTTTTGATTTTTGTTTTTTAGTTGTTTAATGGAAGGAGCAGTCATCCTAGTGGTTAAAGTAAAATTTACTTTGCTGTCATGTTAACTTAATAATCAAATATTGATTGATTTAAAAAATTAAAAATGGAATCTTTGTTATCACAGCTTTCTCCTTGAATAGAAATAAGATGTGGTGGTATAAATTCTTTTTTTTTTTTTTTTGAGAGGTTTTTTGCTATAGGGCGCGTGCGCTCGCTAGACAGAGAGAGACATAGAGACAGAAAGCGAGAAATCACCCCCCAGAGGGGTTGGTCACGCCGCAATCCCTTCTCCTCCATTCTCCTCTCGAGATCTTGGGCACGCATGCACACATGCCTGGTGTGAGTTTTAAGCCACCGGGTCCAGGACTTGAACCGCGGTCGACTACGTGGGAGTCCAGCGACATAGCCATTACGCTAACTGCTGGATCCCATGGTATAAATTCTAATGGCTGTTTTTTTGAGTGCTTACTATGTGCCGTGCATATATTAAGTGCTTTAATAGCTTAATTCTACAACTTGAAGCACTGCTACTTTTACTCCTTTTCCAAGTGAGGAAATGAAACAAAAGAGGTTAAAAGTAATTTTTCCAAGATTATACAGTCAGTGTTTAACTATAGACCTACAGTCAAACTTCAGAGCATATACTCTAATGAACTAAGTTGTGTATTCAGCTGGTAGCATTCTTTACTTGTCTGATGTGTATTGGCTTCCAGTCTGGAAAAGTACCTTTCTGAGTAGCTGAACAAGGTGGCTAGCTGTAGATGTCCCTAATTTCTTTGTTGATCTACAGGTGAGCATGCTGGGGAAAGGATTTGGTGACGTCGGTGAGGCTAAAGGCGGCAGCACCACGGGTTCTCAATTCTTGGAGCAATTCAAGACTGCTCAGGCCCTGGCTCAGTTGGCAGCTCAGCATTCTCAATCTGGAAGCACCACTACTTCCTCTTGGGATATGGGCTCAACGACACAATCCTCATCGCTGGTGCAGTATGGTGAGAAGATGGGCAAGACTGAGTCCTTAAAAACATTTGTGCATTAACCATCAAGGGGCTGGGATGGGGACAGGGTGAAGAATGCATCCCAAAATGAGGAGAAAGATAGCAAACTGAAAAGTTCCTCACATTGATTTATCCTATCAAATAGGCCAAGTTTAGAAAGTTGGGGAATAATACAAATTTGAGGCTGCGGGCCAGCTCTGTGGCCTAGGGTTAAGGCAGCTGGATCATATAGAACCAGACCCATTGACTTGAGAAACACACTGGGTGTGTGTACATGCATACCCAAAGTCCTGAGAGGATGGAGAAGAAATTATGGTGTGACCACTCCCCATTGGTGGAGTGTTTTCTCCTCCTTTTTTTCTCTTGTGAGCACCTGTGCCGTCTGGCAAAATTCTAAAAGAAAATAAATTTGAGGCTATTTATTGTCCTCATTAATTTTTTTTTTTTGAGAGGTTTTTGCTATAGGGCATGTGTGCTTGCTAGAAAGACAGACGAGAGATAGGAAGTGATAAATCACCCCCCCCGGGGCGGTGGGTGGGGGATGGCCACGCCATAGTCCCTTCCCCTCCATTCTCCTCTAGGGATCTTGGGCACACATATGCACATGCACCCGGCATGAATTTAAGCCACCAGGTCTGGGACTCAGACTGTGGTTGACTACATGGGAGTCCAGCGACATAGCCATTACGCCATCTGGTGGTCCCTGTCCTCATTGAATTTAACCATACACATAAGTTACAGTTTTTATTGACCTGGGAGTTTTGGAAGATTTTACCTATATTTAGCTTTAGTGTTTGAAAATGACATACTGCCTTTGGTGAATTTCATGGGCTTGACCATCTTAAGACCTTGTACTTTTACAGTGAGCAGTTGAAGATTCCTGTCTTACACAGGCAGGATAATGATGATTTGATTAAGACTCTAAGAACATAGGGGCCAGCAGGTGGCGTGGTGGTTAAGGCACTGGAATTCCCACATGGGCTACCACAGTTCGAGTCCTAGACCTGTCAACTTGCTTTCTAACTCTCCCTCTCTTTCTCTGGCAAAACTCATGTGAAATAAATAAATAAAATAAAATAATTCTTAAAAAAAAAAAAAAAGAACAGATAAAGAGCCAATGATTGTCATCTGTAGAAATGAGATTGAGTCCTAAAAGAGGATCTATTTATATGACTATTTATTTTTGAGGTTTTGTTCACAATTTAGTGCTGGACTTGAGATGCATCAGCACTCCTGGCCTCACATACATACTGTTTTTCCTTTTGCAGATTTGAAGAACCCAAGTGATTCAACAGTGCATAGCCCCTTTACAAAGCGCCAGGCTTTCACGCCATCTTCAACCATGATGGAGGTGTTCCTTCAGGAGAAGCCACCTGCAGTGGCTAACTTCTGCACCTCCACCTGCCTCTTCTCCTCTGCCGAGCAAACCCACGTCAGCTCCACAGATGTCTCCTGGGTCTTCAGACAACCAGTCCTCCAGCCCTCAGCCGGCTCAGCAGAAACTGAAACAACAGAAGAAAAAAACCTCCTTGACGTCTAAGGTACATAAACTTTTAGGCAGATAACTATTTTAAGGAAAGGGCTTATGGGATTTGGGACTCAAGATTTTTTTTTTTCTTTTTTTTTTTTTTTTTTTGCCATAGGGCATGTGCACTTGGTGGAGAGAGACAGAGAAATGGAAAGTGAGGAATCACACGCACACACACACCCTTCAGGGGAGTTGGCCATACTGCAGTCCCTTTTCTTCCATTCTCCTGGGATTTGGGGCATGCATGCACATATACCAAGTGTGACTTAGTGTCCTAGATCTGAGGCTTTAACTGTAGTTGGCCATGTGGGAGCCCAGTGCCTTAACCACCAAACCACCAGCTAGCCCAGGACTCAGGATTGTAATGGAAAGGGTTTTTTTGTTTGTTTGTTTTTAATTATATTAAGCTTGTATTAAACTTTCGACTTTGTCGTCTCCTTTACCTTTCTCTGTAGATTCCTGCTCTGGCTGTGGAAATGCCTGGTTC